GGCAGGGTGAGCCCCGGGCTGGGCGGACGGACACACGGCCCATTCTCGCCCTGTGTCGCTGGGGCTGGGAGCCTGGGTGGTTCCAGTGGTTCTGGAACCACTCCGCTCGGGTGCAGAGTTAGCTTCGCCCTCGGAAAAATACAAAGCGCCGCGCTACTCCGTGTTCGTTCCTCCCGGGCCACGAGGGAGGACGGGGGCCGCTTCTGAGGCGTTCTGCTTCCCCCTCCTCCCTTGCCAAGCAGCACGGACTAGAGCGAGAGCCGCGGCCGTGAGCAGCCCCCGCGCTTCCCCCTGGGAACAGAGATTTTGCCTCGGCACAGAGGTCCGCCAGGGCCGGGAGGCTCCTCACCGAGCCAGGGGAAGGGCAGGAGCGGCCCAGCCGCCCTCCCTCTGCCCCACGAGCTCGGGCGATGGGCGCTGAACCTGGGACATGGTTAGGAAGAGGAGACAGAGGAATAAAGTGAAGGACCGGGAAAATGCCTGTGTCCTGCAATGATATGGAGGCGAGTGCACGTCTGGCCTTCGCCCGCTGCTGCTCAGAATGTCCTTCGGGGCTGGGGAAGTTTTCCAGGAAGGACACTCTCCTCGGGGACCACCCTTGTTAGCAGAGCCCCGAGAAAAGGGAAACACCCACAGAATTCCCTCGCCAGGAGCCCTGGGGAGAAGAAGCCGGGGCATACAGCAGGCAGAGAGAAATCTTGCGCGAGGAAAAAGGGACGGGTGAATAGGTAAAAAACGTGTAACCGGGAGGGCAGAGGCTCCGTCAGAGCCATCACAGGCAGGGCGATCCCCGAGGGGGACGCGCACAAAGTTCTGGTGCATTCCTGGATGCCCGCAGGAGGCAGCGCTCCCGGGGCGCCGCCCCTGAACGACCCGTCCTGGGAAAGAGAAGCGGGACGGGGGAAGAAATTACCTGTAAGGGCTTTGTAATTTAATGTTCTGCCTTAAAACCTTGCCAGGGAGGAATCTAGGGCGTGTCACGGCTAATCGGGGCACGGTGTGGGCCCTGCAGTTCGCTTTCAGCCCTAGAAAGTGGCTGCACCCCTCAGCGCGGGATTTGCCGTGATGTTGGAACTCCCCTAAATGCAAGGGAAGCCGCGGGACAGATGCCCAGGGAAACACGACTGTTTCTCCTCTTATAAACCACCGTGGTGCGGCTCACGGAACGGCAGGAATTTGTTTGCCTCTTGAGTTTGCTTCCTGAAGACTGGCCCGTGCAGGAGAGAGGGTTTTGGAGTGGCTCTTGTCAGACGAGAAAGGAAAAGCGCGTCGGGAAAGCGTTTCTCTTCCCCTGGGTTAAAGGAATCTCCTACAACTCCGGGACTGGCTGCGCGGTCCAGGCTTTCTCCACCTCGGCCTCCCCAAATAATGGGAGCAACGCCCGCCTGGACTTGGAGTCGGGGAGAGAGCGAGGCAATGCCTTTATGGCATCATTTTAAGATAACACAGGAAAAAAAAAAAAAAAAAAAAAAGGACAGAGAGGGGGAAATAATGCTGTTGGGACTCGAGCTTTGGGTAAAGACACTCAGGTCGGAATGGAAGAGATGGGATAAAAATCTTTCGTCCTGCGCCCTCTTTTTGTGCTCCGTGCACCTCAGGGGCTGTTCGGAACAAGGGGCCAAGCGGCGGAGAGGGCGGATGGGTTTCTTCCTCTCTCCCGGCTAAAGGAAAAATTAATTACATCTCTCTCCAGTTTGCCCCTGCTGTGCTCGTGCAGGTACAGCAAAGCCACGAAAACGAGTTTGGGAAAAGATGAGCCCATGGAGGGACTCGTGCCCGTCTCTTCAGGGAAGGAAGTTTTCCCGGTCCCGCGGGGCTGTAGTTACTGCTCTATTTCTGCGGGAAAAAACAGGGACAATGTCGTGACCGCAGGCAGCTCCAACGCCGTTGGCTGGCGAAGGGGACATGTCCGTAGTGCAATGCAACACCCCGCTCCCAGAACAGGCCAAAGAAAGCTTGGAGGAGCCTCTACTTTGTTTGCTTGCTACGGCCAGGTAACAAGAAAGGCTTTTGATGCTGGCTGTCTCTGAACTAGAGACGCCCGAGCGCACTGTTTTACTGCCGACACGAAAATCCCTGACGGTGTTTCAATCGGGGGCAGCAGCTTTCGTGGCGGTCCCTTCAGCTCCCCTAGATCCGCTGTGACTCTTTCCGTGTCTGTGCCGGGCACCCCTCGGGCACCGCACCCCCTGCCCGCCACAGCGCGGCCGGGCACAGCGAGGGGGGCCGGGGTCCCCACGGAGGGGCCGCGGGAGCTTCCCCGGCGCTGCCCGGGTCCCGCGGTGCCGGCCGGGGCAGACTCACCGCCCCAACTCTCCTCGTCTCTTCACTGCCCCGCCCGCACGCCCCGCAGAAATTTTTCGCGCTGATTTAGAATGAAAAGTCGTAGCAGAGACCAAGAAGCGGGAGCGATACACTTCACCGCACGGAGGTTTTCCTGCCTCCTCCTGCCTGGCATGGATGGGAAATCGGATTAATGCAGAAGCGGGAGGCCTCGCCGTGCCGCTCCGATATCCCAGCCCTGTTTGGGGGCATCCACACTCGCAGAGATGCGCAGCCGGGCGATCAGAGCCAGGTCCGGCCAGCCTTCCTCCCGGGACGCAGTTTAGCGATAACCCCACCTTCCCCCGGCGCTGTGTTCGGAAGACCAACGAGACACTTTTCGCCCGATTTCTTACCAGAGACCTCCCATCTCCAGAGACCTGAGTCAACCTCACAAATAACAGCCACATTAGAAGAAAAACACCCAAAACAATAACACAACAAATCAGAACCGATATTTTAATTAAGAGATGCACGGTGCAGAAGGGCCGGG